TCTCCCCCTCCCCTCCTCTCCCCCTCTTCCCCTCCCCTCTTCTCTCCCTCCCCTCCTCTTCCCCTCCCCTCCTCTCTCCCTCCCCCCCTCTCTCCCTCTCAATCCCCTGCCTTCTAACTCGCCGTGGCAGCCGCAAGGTCACCAAGATGAAGATGCAGGCCATCGGCACAGCCCCTTACGAGCCTCCAGATCCTTTTTCTGGTGGATGACAAGAAAACAACACAAAGACGCGACCCCCTGCCTTCATTGCACGTATGATGGGGAGGAGGAAGAGGAAGAGGAAGAGGGAGAGGGAGAGGAAGGGGAAGAGGAAGGGGAAGGGGAAGGGGAAGGGGATGAGGAGGACGAGGAGGACGAAAGGGGGAACAGTACAGACTGCTCTGTCACGCATTCCTCATAGTAGCCGCCCACATCGAAGCAATCTTGAAACTTTGCCTTGGGCCCTCTCCTTCTCCCCCTGCACAGCCTTCAGACTCAGTAGCCTTTCAACCCGAACTCACTTCCTGAAGGACGGATCGTGCCCTCCGCTTGTCTCCGAAACCACTCGGAAGTCAAGAGAGACCCTGCGGTCTTCGTCATCCTCCTTCTCCTTCCCCCTCCACACCCCTCCTAATCCTAATCCTCCTCCTCCTCACCATCGTCATCATCATCATCATCACCACCACCACCACCACCACCATCACTACCACCACTATCAACGTCGTCGTCGTCATCATCATCATCATTCCCTTTCTCCTCCTTCCCGGTCTCCTCTCCTCTCACCGAGTCTTCTGCGTCAAGTTGGGCTTCGTGAAGTGTCTGCACTGATTCCCGTAGAAGCGGCAGAAGGATCCATACTCGAGCTCGATAGGATGAAAGTCTCCCTTCCCCTGCCTCCAAAATCATCCTCCTCCTTCCTCCCTTTCACTCTTCTTCTCTACCATCCCTTACTCCCTCCTTCCCTTCTCCTTACTCCCGGTCCCCTTCCTTGCTCCTCCTGCCTTCTGCCCCCCTCCTCCTCTCCCTCCTCCTCTCCTCTCTCTTCTCCTCTCCCTCCTCCTCTCCTCTCTCTTCTCCTCTCTTCTCTCTCTTCTCCTCCCTCCTCTCTCTTCTCCTCTCCCTCCTCTCTCTTCTCCTCTCCCTCCTCCTCTCCTCTCTCTTCTCCTCTCTTCTCTCTCTTCTCCTCTCCCTCCTCTCTCTTCTCCTCTCCCTCCTCTCTCTTCTCCTCTCCCTCCTCCTCTTCACCGGCTCAGACTCGATCCACAAGGAGTTGGTATCCCAGACGGGGGAAAGGGGGAGCCAGAAATTGATCTCGCTGGGCTGGTGGTGGTACTCCATATCCGTATGCATCTTGGTCGTGCTCTTCCTGGGGTCGAGGCCGCACTCAGCTGGAACCATCACCCGCAAAGTGGGAGCACGCTGAAACTGGAGAGCCCCTCCTCCCATGACCTTGGAGACGACCTCTCGTATGAACCTGTGATAGATCTCGTCGAAGACACCGTAACTCTTACAGTCTCCCTCGCTCACGCTCAGGTACCGGCCGCTCCTGTCTCTGTCAGCGTTCCACATCTTCTGGAACTTACTCATCCTGAAGTTGTTGTTGTCAACATACCACTCCGTCACTTGATGCAGATCTCCGAAGGGAACTGACTCGTCGATGCCGAGGACTGACCGAACAGCATCCTGGAACGGGTATTGCTGCGTGTCGAAGCCAAAGTACCGCTCCCTTCTGATCTCCGCAAGACTCTCTTCGTCCACTGTGACACTCCTGGTAGAGGGCTTCATAGAGAGCTCTCGTGAGTTTCGCTTCATGCTCCATGCTGCTGCGCTCCTCCTCCTTCCAGGGAATCTCGTGCACGATACCAAAAGACCGAATTTCCTGCCCATCAGCATAGAGCCAACATGACTGCCTCCTCCGGCGAAGCTTTGCGCCTGCCTGAGCGAAGCCATGACCAGCAGCATGCAGCCTCCATGCAGCCGCATGAACGCGCGTGAAGCTGCCCGAAGAGCAGACGACGGGGGAGAAGTTGGAGGGGGGGCGGGGGGGGGGGCAGGGGCGGGGAGGGGAAAGGGGGCGACAGGAATCGGGGAAATCGGAGGCTGCCGAAGAAAAGGGAAAGAGGGAGTGGTAAACGATGGCGGGGGTGTGGCCGGAGGAGGTGAAGTACGCGACGTGTCTTGACGTCTCCCTGCTCTCGTCTCAGGTCCGCTCCTCCATCCCCCTGCCTCTGCCTCGCATGCAGCCCTGACAGCATGCAGGATAAGCGCGCCATGAGGAAGCGATGCGTCCCTGGAGTCGAGCTCTCAAGAGCGAGCGGGTGGGTGAGAGTGGTGGCGAGCAAAGACTGGAGCCGCCATGAAGTGATCGGGGAGCTCTGCGGAGAGATGTCTCATGGAGGAGAAGGGAGGGAGAGCTCTGGTCGGTCTGTCCTCCGCGTCAGCTTCCATGCGCAGGGTAACGAACTGAACTTCCTTCGGCATCGGTCGCAAGTGGAAGCTCAAGAGAACGTCAGGATGGCGGGGAACTGCGAGGTAGTCATGGCAGTTGTCCGCGAGATCCCATGCCTGCTGGTTGTGAGCACAGAGGAAGTTCGCGAGGGTTCAGAACTCATTCTAGACAACTCAGAATACTCCATGGAGTCAAACACCTATGTCATCGGCAACGACAAGTTGCACGTCACTTTCTCACTCTCTGATCCCATTCATGCACAAACGCTATCAGATGGCAACGTGAAGGAGGGAGCTAACAGCAGACCTTCATGGCCGACTGACTTGTCCTACTCTCTTGAACCATCGCTGACTCTTGGCAAACAAGACAAGGTCGCGCCATCCTTGCTTCTCGTTTGTCTTTGCTGAGGAAATCTCACAGGAGGATATGAGGTCGAGGAGGCTACCCGGCGTCTCTGTTGTCCGAGTCGAGCATGCCGATCATCCTGCCTGCGGGCAGTACATGCTGTGAGCTTCGTGTTTGCCAGTATTCTCGTGATTTGGCGATTAGGTGTGCAGCAAGACCATGGTCTGCCGGGAGAGTTTTGGGGGAATACACGGGGAAGGTCGGGAGGAGCCTCCATACAGGAGACTACGTTGCTTGCCTGGTCGACCCCTCCTGCCTCCTCCTCGTCTGATCTCCCAGCTCGACAGATCGGATACGAGGGAGATACTGCTGGATCCCTGAGAAGTCTGCTGACTCATTCGACCATGATCGGAGTAGAATGCTTTCCTATGACCGCGTGACTTTGACCTGCTTGTCAAGATCGATGCTTCGACCTGCGGCAACGAGATGCGAATGATCAACGACTACAGGTCATCCCAGCTCCTCCCCCTGTCCTACCCCTGCCACCCTCTCCCCCTCCTCCTGTCCTACCCCTGCCACCCTCTCCCCATCCTCCTGTCTCCCCCCTGCCAATCTGTACCTCCTCCTCCCGTGTAAACCTCTTCCTCCCAGGGGCATCGCAGCAGCATCGAACTGCTGCTTCTCGCGGTCGTGGATACGAGGAGCTCCGGCCTTATTCATCGTCACGACGAGACAAGTGGAGGAGGGGGAGGAATTCCTCCTCGACTACGGCCATTTGTACCTGCAGCTCAGTGTTCTCACACAAAAATGATGCTTCATGTGCAGATATTGGGAGCATTTCTCGAAGAAAGAGGAGGGTCAGTTGAAGCAGCATGTGAATAGAGTGGAGGACAGTGAGGCGTTGGAGGTAGAGCAGGTGCGAATATCGTATGACCCACCCACAAGACTGATGAGCTTGTGCAGGAGCTGCTGGAGATGATGATGCAAGCGGAAGAAGTATGACATAACAGAAGAATGATCTAGTAAAACCCAGGATCCGATCACTCCCACTGTCACATCGGCGAGTTGCATTAAACGCGTCCTGGACTACCAGGCCGGGGCCCGCGGCAAAAATCAAGCCCGGCCTAGTCAGTGACCCGGCATTCGGGGCGTCGCCGCGCCTGTATAACTGCTGTAACTGCTGTCTTTATAAGTTCATGTCCAGGGAGGCCGACAACACAAGAGGATTGACGCAGGAATGGGGAAGGAAGGAGCTTGATGGCTGATACCTCGCTTACTCTTACACCCCATTGACACCCGACTCTCTTCATCTCCTCTCTTCTACTCCTTTTCTTGACCGAGCGAAGTTGTACGCGTCGGATTTTGTGACTTTCAAGATTTCTTGAGGGCTGTCAGGTTGACTGTGACCTGAATAAAAGATCCTGTTGGATTCAAGCAGATTGTTTGAAACAACAATGAGAGCTCTGTCATGGTTCTGTTTCGTATTGTTGGGCACAGAAATCTCGGGCTTCGCTTGCCATGGCCCTTATTCTGGAACTCTTGGAAAGGTGTTGACGGATCACAGTTGCAAGCTCACACAGTTGAAAACAAGAGCTACTCGTAACGCAGTGTTAGGCTTGCAGGCTGCAGCCAAAGACGTATGGAGTGTCGTGGGTGCCTCCAGCGCTCGCGGGAACCAGTACTATGGAGGAGGGAACATGGTAAAGTGTCCTATGCGAAGTGCTTGTTTTGACCTCCTCCGGAACAGGCTGAAGATGTTTGCACATGGAGGCACGACGTCGAAGGGACGGGAATTGAACTTTGGAAGGGATCTTTCGGCTGGTTTGACTTCATGAACTACGACGGAGCTCCGGTGGTCCTGTGCGATACTTGGGCTGTATGCATTGAAAGGCCAACTCAAGTTTTCCCTTCGGGGGGTTCGCAATACAGCATGTTGCGTCAAGCTGCAACGAAGAAAACGCTGGAAAACTACAAGATCAAAGATTTCCTTGAGGTATGTCACGCTCTTCTCGCTACCACTGCTGCTCATTCCCGAACAGGCAGGAGGTTGGAGCGCAGAAGTCCTCGGTGACTACATTCGTATCAAGAACAAATACTCGAGCAGACAGACTATAATCTTGACTGAAGACGGTTTCACTTTCTTTGGAGCGAGAGGAACTGCAATCAGGGTGTCTCAAGTCAGCTCACCTCTGCTGTTTTGCTCCATGATTTTCTCACGTGTATGGCAGGGTGGACAAGTGCAAGAAATTCCTGCTGCAGAGGCGCTGAAAGGACTAGAGGGTCTCGCTTGATGTAGACTACCATATCAGTAAGGATTCTTGCCATATAAAGACTATAACACAAACACAGAAGAGATGGGAGCATCTCTAGCGCGGCTGACAGTTGCAAACCTAACTTGACCAACGCAGAGGAGCTCCTCTGCGTTGGTCAACCGTGAGGGCTGCGAGCATCACATGGGACCGACGGATTCGTGGAGCGATGCCGCAGCCGCAGCAGAGTGATCAGCGTGACGGTTGAAGATGCCAACCCATCGGACACTATCAGCATTGCTTACCTGGAGGTCGCAAGAAGACGATGCCTCTGGAGGGGCTCTAGTTCCGGTAGTAACACACGACTGAAGCAGCAGATGTACTGCAACGTTGAAGTGCCTCAGCAAGACGCAATGACTGAAGGCGCTCGGATCGGCCCAATCACCATCTATTATGGTGGAATCTCTTCCAACAGACGCTCGACGTGGAGGATCGCTGTTGGGGAGAAGCTGGACGACACAGCTGAGCATCTTAGCGTTCATTCAGCATACATCCGAATAATCATCTTGTGAAACTCTTGCTCATGCTCATGCTCATGCTCATGCTCATGCTCATGCTCATGCTCTTGCTCATGCTCTTGCTCTTGCTCTTGCTCTTGCTCTTGCTCTTGCTCTTGCTCTTGCTCTTGCTGTCTTGCTCCCGCGCTTTTCACTTTCTCGCCATGTCGTCCTCTTTGCGAATTGGCGAGAAAAACTCACAAACTTTTGATAAACCTACCCCACCCCCCACCATGAGCTATGGGTGACGGAAGCAGAGCTACGACCTATCTGAGATACAACAAAGAGGAAGAGTCAAGATGGTCATCATGTTTAATCTCGCATCATCCTACAACAAGCATCAGTCGAAGATTCGGACGATCTCCCGGATGTCCCTGCGGCACAGAGGGCACTGTGTCCCTACAACGCTCCTGCACTCAGAGCAGAGGCACTTGTGGCCGCAAGGCAAGATAGCGTAATCGACCTGGTCAGACAGGCAGATCTGACACTCGCCCCCCTTGTTGGTGTCTGCAGGGGCTTTGGAGTGCAACATCAGGAAAGCATCTTCAACCTGCTCCTTCACCTGCGTGAAACTCGGTCGCTCGGACGGGTCTGGTCTCCAACATGCCTGCATGATCTCGTAGAATCTCGGGTTGCAGCACTCCGGCTTCTCGAGCAAGTGGCCCAGGATGATCTTTCGTCTCAGCTCCTCGTCCTCTGTGACGGACGCGTACGGCACGACAGAGCAGTTAGTCCACAGCTCCCACAGGGTGACGCCGTAGGACCAGATGTCGCTCTTCTCTGAGAACTCCCTCCTCGTCATCACCTCTGGAGCCATCCATCGCAGAGGCCCACCAGTCAACTCGCCATAACGGCTTTCACGGCTGAGGCTGGCCGGGGCCGCGGCGGTCAATCGCAAAGAAAGTCCAAAGTCTGAGATCTTGACTCGAATGAGCTTCCTGTCGTAGTAGTCAAAGCTGAACACCAGGATGTTGCGGCAGGCGAGGTCCCCGTGGACTACGTTGTACACTGACAGCTGCATCATCCCGTCGCACACCTGCTTGCCGACCTGCAGTAGCACCTCGTCGCTGACAGCCTTGCTGCTCTGCTGAGCTTTCTGAAGGAGATTGTCTAGAGAACCTTCCGGAGCATACTCCATCACTAAGGCATAGTGACCGTTTCTCAACTGGGTCGGGCAGTAAAACTTTGCCAAGTGCGGATGATTCCCAATCAGCCGCATGATCTCTACTTCATTGCGGAAGGTCTCCATGTCGTCGTGTTCTTTGCCTCTGAACTCAAGCATTGCAACGTCCATGAACGTCTCGTTACCATCAGGCGTCTTTTGCCTCCATTGCGCTTTGAACATGGACTTGTAAGTACCTGTGCCATGGGGAAGCACATCGATAAGGAAATTAGAAATGTCGACAAGGCTCAACTTGCAGTCTTGAGATCCGTTCTCGATCACCAACTCGCACCCTAAGCTTTCCTTTGACATGGCATGCGAGGCCTCATCTGCAGTGCGAGTGTTGACTGTGTTTTTGATCCACCAGCAATAACATCCAATCATCCCCAGGACGAGGCATCCCGACACTGACGTTCCAACCGCCGTCAGCAAAGAAGCCGAAGTTCCCGATGGAGTCGCGGTCGGCTGCACTTGAGACTTGGAGGACAACTCCGAAGGTATCGCAGCTTGAATGCTCTCGCTACACGCAAACGAAGCTATCCCAGATGTAGATCCTTCCGCACACGCCAAGCAGCTCGAGGCCTTTGAGCCAGCTGAATAAGTTCCTGGAGCACAGGCTGTGCACGTGGTGGACCCTGCCGTGCTGGAGTAGGTTCCTGCTGGACACGTCGAGCAATAGGATGCGCCTCCGTCGCCTGAGAAGCTTCCTGGCTGGCACGCCGAACATGTCGTGCCGCCAGCAAGAGAAGAGAAGAAACCGATGGGACAACCTGTACATGCCGATGCCTTGCTGACTGATGAGAAGCTACCTGCCGGACATGCAGCACAAACCGATGATGCTTCCGTAGACCATGTCCCTGATAGGCAAACGGAGCAGGGTGCAGCTCCTATACTTGACTTAGACGTTCCTGGAGCACACTTTGAGCAGGACGGCCCTGTGTTTGTGTGACCAGCTGGACAGACACACGAAGTCATTGTGCCATCGCTGTACGCGTTAGCTTCACATTCTTTACATTGAAAGTTTGAGATGCCGTCCTTACATCCATCGATTACGCGATAATTCATTTGACATCTGCACTCCCAGCAAACCGAAGATCCAAGAAAAGTTGAAAAATGTCCCAAACCACACACTGCGCATGCCGACGCCCCGGGCTCTCTGCTGTAGCTCCCCGCCGCGCATGCTCCGCACGCCGACGCCCCGGGCTCTCTGCTGTAGCTCCCCGCCGCGCATGCTCCGCACGCCGACGCCCCGGGCACTCCGCTGTAGCTCCCCGCCGCGCATGCTCCGCACGCCGACGCCCCGGGCTCTCCGCTGTAGCTCCCCGCCGCGCATGCTCCGCACGCCGACGCCCCGGGCTCTCTGCTGTAGCTCCCCGCCGCGCATGCTCCGCACGCCGACGCCCCGGGCACTCCGCTGTAGCTCCCCGCCGCGCATGCTCCGCACGCCGACGCCCCGGGCACTCTGCTGTAGCTCCCCGCCGCGCATGCTCCGCACGCCGACGCCCCGGGCTCTCTGCTGTAGCTCCCCGCCGCGCATGCTCCGCACGCCAACGCCCCGGGCTCTCCGCTGTAGCTCCCCGCCGCGCATGCTCCGCACGCCGACGCCCCGGGCACTCCGCTGTAGCTCCCCGCCGCGCATGCTCCGCACGCCGACGCCCCGGGCTCTCTGCTGTAGCTCCCCGCCGCGCATGCTCCGCACGCCGACGCCCCGGGCTCTCTGCTGTAGCTCCCCGCCGCGCATGCTCCGCACGCCGACGCCCCGGGCACTCCGCTGTAGCTCCCCGCCGCGCATGCTCCGCACGCCGACGCCCCGGGCACTCTGCTGAAGCTTCCAAGCTCACAGTTTGTGCACGCAGATGCTGTGCTTTTTGACCAAGTTCCTCTCATGCATGCTGAGCAGAATCCATCGCCGATGACGCTCTTGTAGGTTCCTTGTGTACATGCATCACAACTTCCCTTTGTTTTGTTGTAGTATCCGAGTTTGCAAAGGCAATCATCTGTAAAAGCATCGTTTGCATATTCAACACAGTTTGGCAGGCCTTGTTCTGTTTGTACCCAGGATGGCCATGCGCGATGACACTGGATAAGATTGTGTGTAACGTCAATGTAAATGTTGGCAGGAAGACTCGCAAATGCTGAGGAAGGGATGCAAGAGATGCTATTGTACCTTAGCCCGAGGGAGATGAGGCTGGGAAGGTTGTGAAAGATGTTTGTCGGGTAGTTTTTCAAGTAATTTCCATAAAGGTCGATGTAACGCAGCCTTGTCAGACTGTCAAAGAGCCTGTCCGGAAGGCTCTCAAGCTTGTTGTAGTACAGAGAGGCTTCGTTAAGGTTTGAAAGATTATCGAACAATCCAGCTGGTAGCGACTGGAGCATGTTACCTCCAAGCCGAAGGTATGCAAGGTTCTTGTTGTTGTTGAAGACACCCGGAGGTAGAGCTGACAGCTTGTTCCAAAGAAAGAACAAATTAAATACTTGGGTAAGGCTGTCAAACACCCCAGCCGGTATCTCCGTCAAGTCATTGTAAGATAGATCAAGAAGGCTCAGTGACGGCATCCCTTGGAACACGTTGCTCGTCAACGACTTGATCCCTCGTGATGATAGCGGTAAGGAGTTTTGGCAGTCATGGCTGCATGTGCCTTGTCGCATGAGCTCCCCACTGCTACTCACCACAAACGTGCAGCCCCCGCATTGGACATAATCGAACGTTGAGACGTAGAGCTGCTCCAAGCTCGTTAGGTTTTGGAAGAGTTCATTCGGTGCCTGCGACATCTGCAGGTCGTACAAGATCAAAACCCTCAAACTTGAGAGATGGTCGAAGAGCCTTGAAGGAAGTGATGAGATCTGGTTGCCTTGAAGATACAATATGTTAAGCCGTGAAAGATTGTTGAACAACCCTGCCGGCAGGCTCGTAAGGTCATTGTTGTAGATCCATAGCATCCATAGCTTCGAGTTGGCATCGAAAACTCTTGCTGCAAGGCTGGTGAGCCGGTTGTTGTCTAGGTAGAGATACTCAAGTTTGACAAGCTGGTCGAACACTGCTGCTGGCAATGACGTGAGTCTGTTGATTCGCAGGTTCAGGGATGTTATGCTGGTGAGGCCGTCGAAGACTCCTGATGGCAAACTCGTAAGGGAGTTGCCAGCCAACCCAAGGTATTGAAGCTGAGTCAGTCCCTTGAAAACGTCGGGGTCCGAGATCTGAGATATTCGCTTGCTGTATAAGTCCAACGAGGTGCATCCTGTGCCGCAAGCAGCTTGTCTTGTCAACACTCCGTCCGCGGAGATTGTGAAGGTGCAATCTCCGCATGATACTTGACTTTGTGCCATTGATGGAATGGGGTGAAAGATCAGAAGAAGAAGAATCAAATCTCTCATGCTGTCGAAGCTTGGTTATCAACCTTGAAGGAGAATGATACGAGAAATGACAGGAGGACTCCTTGTGCAGCCGTAGGAAATTGTACCCCTCTATTCCACCCCCCTCCCGTCTTCAACCCCACCCCCGCTGAGCTTGTATCTAGTGATCCCTTATTCAGGTGGGTGGTTTGGAGGCAGTGGAGCTTCCAGGGGTGGGTGGGGGTAGTCGACCATAAATTGATCATCTCAAGCTATGGAAGACCAGCTGAGCACGTCAAGATGCCGAACCTAGTACCCCCACCCTTTCAGTAAGCCTATCAACCACCGGACTCCGCGGCTACCCATTTTACTCTACACTACCGAGTACCTTGCGCCACCAAGTAGCGCACGTGACTTGGAGGAGGACTAAAACGATTTCACTTGATGAGCTCTGCCTCGCGGTATCTCCTGCCCGAAGAGTTCTGACCTCCTCTCGGAGATCCAGCAAGCGGGCCACTGCCTGGATCACGGTCCGCAGGTCAAGTTGATTTTCATCTCTCACCTCAACTAAAGAAAGTGGGCAGGGCAGACCCGGTGATAAAAACCATAACCGTAATAACTGCCACCGCAAATAGAGAATGGCCTGCCGGAATGCTGGATGAAGGAGAGCAGAATGAGGGAGGCGAAGAGAGAGGGAGAGACATAGAGAGGGTTCTCAGTTTCAAAGAGGAGTGATGAGGAGGAGGCTTGGTGCCATTGCCGTATTCAGATGTCTTGGAAGGAGGGGGAGACAAGCACGGATGAAAAAGTGATGTTATGTTCCTATGTTCTCATTGTTGAGACAAACAGGTCAAGGGAACATTAACTTGAGATGTTCTCACTGCTGAGGGTAAGTTCTCTTTCTGTGTCCTCACGCTCAAACACGCTGACATACGGAGCAGAAAATTTCACTCGCCGTCAGCATCCCTGCCGGGACGGCGACAGCAGAGCCATGGCACACGGAGCAAAGCAAAGACTATTATCAGACAACCGGAGACCACATGACCTACTGTAGAGACTTCGATGGGTGAGGGTGGGATGACTTCACAGCTGAGTGATTGAGAGTTGTCGTGGTAGGCAAGCTTTCATATACACGGAGAAAACAGGATGCCATGATCCAGCTGATTTCTACCGTGGAAGCTACTACAAGGTACATGCATCCTTCTTTTACGACTCAACCTCATCCTCCCTCAAGATCCAGGCGGCTGGCTCCACACCTGCAACGGCAAGCAGCTAAATTGATAGCGAGAGAACTCGTGAGAGGTAAGAGCAAGACCAGTAGGGTCGATGTGTTGACAATCAGCACTTCGGGCAGTTGCGATGAAAGTTATGATCTTTTACGATGCCTGATCACGATGCCTGCAATAATCCTTGCCAAGTTGTAGAGAAAGAATGTATTAAACATCGAATGTTTTACAGATTGTTGCATCAGGTTGGCTGCAATATTTACAAAGTTGTGACGATATGAAACAGCTGCTAGAGAAGAGGAACGTTGTATGGGCAATCAACCTTTCCGGGCCTTTCCGGGATTTCAAGATTTTCATCACATCCACTCGTCATCGCTCGTTGAAGATGCCAGACTTTGAGCATCAGACCCTTGTTCACCATCGCACTTCACATCCCTCGAGTCCAAAGCTTCCGAAACACCTCCATCATCACTCGTCTTACCCTTCGTAACTGCGACCTGGTATGCGCCTGAGTCACGGTCTTGCTCTCGGGTTCTTATAGAAACGGCAGCTTGCTGGTCCTCCTCCTCCTCCTCCTCCTCCTCCTCCTCTCCGTCTCCCTCCTCTGGATGCTGCGAGTAGGTGAAGTCTGGTTCATCCGCATCGATCGGGTCGTCGTCGTCGCAGGTCTGAAAGTTGGGTCGGATCGCAGTCTCAGCCTCCTCCGGCGAGAAATCTTCCCCATGATCGCAGTTCTTGAATGTTGATGACGGCACAGCAGCGGTGCTATACTCGATGCCTTCAATGCCCTTCTGAGGCACAGGGCAAGTCTTGGTGTGCTCGTGGGGCTGACGAGATCGCTTGGGGAACTTGTACTCCTTGTTGTATACAAACGTTGGTGTCAAGAAGTGTCCTCGAACCTGAAGAGCATAAGGAGAATCGAGGCGACGGGATGGATATACCGGGGGGAAGTTATGGACGAAGAAGGGAATGACTTCTTTGTATCCTTGAAATTTTCGTCCCCCGCAAACTTTCATCTGAAGAAGCAAAATGAGTTGCAAGAGTCGCTCTTGTCTGCGGGAACGAGACCTCGATGCTGCCTGAAGGAGAGACGACGAAGATCTTGTTGGCCTCCACACCTTGCAAACACATCAAACAAGACATACGGCACAATAAATCCTATCATCGCATACCCGCATCCAAGTAAAAGTTCACATCAGTCCCTGAACCCCCGAATGCCGCAACGAACGGCTGTGCCCTCTCGCTCGCATCATCCGCGACATCTGCTGTGAAGACGTCCACCAGAGCACTGACGGGATCATGCAGCCCGTACTTTCCCTTCCCCACCACTGAGTTCATCTGAGCATCCAAAGAGTCACAGGACCCATAACTACACCTTCACTCACCACATATCTTAGAGAACTGTCACATGACGTCAGCAGCGCTCCCGCAGGGAGTCGCAGGTAGCAGTCCCCCGGGTCCTTCTGCCTCCCATCCTCTACCGGATGCCCGCGGATGTTGCTCATCTTGCTGCGGATCTTGTCGAACCAAGTCATTGGAGACGAGGTAAGGAAGGCGATGCGGTATCCCGAGGCGTCCAGGTAGACAAGCAGCTCACAGACATCTTCGAACGGCTGCTCCCATCCCAGCGATCCACCAGAGTGTCTGGGCCTCAGCTTCAGCGACCAAGCTCATGTGCTCCTCCCACTCACCGTCCCAGTGTGATCATCTCAGCTCCTCGCGCTAATCGAGCTTTGGCAAAGATTGACGATTCGACGCCGAAGATGACGACAGGGTCGGTGGCCTCCCAGAGGAAGATCGAAGCAGTTGCTTCATAGAGAACGGATCCTGTGTGTGCTTCGAACTTCACCTGCGCCCCTAACATCACATCGCATTGTGCAAGCAAGAAACCCAAACCTCGTTTCTTCCTAATTGGAGATCCAGCTGAGCAAGGCAGTCTTGCGAGGGCACATTGGACAACCCTTGGTCTCCTTTGTCGAAGTAGCAGTTTCCATCCTTCTCTACTTTCATCTCCAAGCACTCGCTCACAACTCCATTGATCTGCACTTTCACTGTTGCAGTTTGCCAGGTTGTCATCTGAGCAACGAAAATTTGGAGATTAGAGGGGTCAGACATGTCTCCATATCACCAGTGAGTCATTCCCAACACGGAAATGCCATCCCGTCGACTTCATCGTACCGTCATCGTGCATGATGATGACTATATCCATCACACCTGCAACCGGACACATGAGCTTGTTCAGAAGTAAAGCAGGAAAGGAGGGGCAAAGGAAAGCAAAAGAGATATGAGAAGTTCATAGACAAAGACACATCAGTCTCTTCATCGCCTATCAATTATCTTCTCCTCTCTTCACCTGTTCGTCTCCTCCCGCCATCCTTCAGCCATCCTAGCGATCCCAGCGATCCCAGCGGCATGGCAGACCCGGTTCCTGTTTCACCCCCCTGTTCAGCTTTTCATTGTTGGGTAGGGTTATGGGTGGGGTGTAAGATCAGGTCTGCCTCAGCGAAAATCGAAACTCGTCATGGCGGCGACGGCCGGGCAGAGAGGTATGCGTGGTGACGGAAGGGGGAGAAGTGGTGGTGGAGGAGGAGGACCAGAATTAGGAGTAGACAGAGAGAAGGAGGGAGGGAGGGAAGAAGAGAGGGAGGGAACGAAGGAAATTTTGAATAAGGGCAGTGATCCGATGATCTCAGATGGGATGTCAGAGGCGGAGTCGATAATTAGCAAGTTCAGATTCATCTAGGTGGAGTTGAACTTGTATCGTCTTTCGAAAGAAAGATTGGTCAGTACTCCAGCGACGATATGGCTTCATAATTCTCATCTCATACAGTTCGCAGTTGTTTTCAGTTTGGCGCTGTTCCTGTTGGTCGACATCTGCCAGGGATACGTCTCCCCTCTGCTCCATCTCCGCTGCTCAGCGAACGAGAAGCAGGCATGTACAACCCCAAGCACTGTGGTTGCAAGGAGGCAACTCTTCAGCGGTATGTGTACTAGTACAGCGCAGAACAAGACGAGACAATGCTGACACCTTGTCGATGCTGACTCAAGCAGGCGCTGCTGCTTTCATTCTCGCTGGCGGGGTCGCACCAGCCCTTGCAGGAGAGGATGGTGGTTTGATGGTGACCAATCGGAGGATGATGTTGAGGAATATGTGACTGTCGGAAGCAGCAAACTGAGTCTGGAGTCAAGTACAAGATCCTCAAGACCACCACGGCGCCGGGAGACAAGGTAAAAGCTGGTTCCACTCTGAATGCTTGTTGATCTTTTGGCCAAAAGTTTGGAATCGTCGAGACTGCAGAGGATGGCGACCTTGTGATCCTCTCCATCTTGGCCAAGACGGCTGATGGAAATGTATGTGTGTCCTTCCTTCCTTCAACGTCGTGGTGACGGCTCATGTTGCAGGTAGTGATGGATACATCCAAGTCGCGACAAGGTTTCGCGGTCAGATCCTGCAGAAACACAAAATCGTCCAAACGTCACACTCATGAGTCTAATCACAGGTTGCTTTGGGCAAAGGCAAGACAATCAGAGGGTTGGAGGACGGAGGTACGTCGTGCCATGCCGCCCTTCGGAGATCTGACCATTCCGATAGTGAAAGGAATGAAAGCTGGAGAGACGAGAGTGCTGTATATCCCAGCAGGACCTCTGACCGAACCGATCAAGCAGGATGTCGAGATCGAAGTCACGTACGAGCGCAAGAGTAACCTGATGAAGATGTTTGGGTTTGGCAGCTGATGTCGTTGAGGCTGCAACATGCCATAGCATCAGCTTTACACAGTGATGTAGCCGTCTCTCAGATTGAAGTTTTGAGCGGCTGTGAATGAACGAATTTTCAACTGAAAGAAACGGAATGCTCAAAACCTTGAACTTGCGGCACAAGAATCTTCTCAGCAGCTGAACAGGAGTGAAGCCATGTTCACTGGAACGAGCCTAGAAGAGAGGAGGGAAGAACAGCTGAGATGGTGTGAACCTGAGCCGCAGAGAGAAAGAGGGGGTGCATGCAGATACGAATAGGACGAGGGAAGGGGACGGAAAGTGTACTCATGTAGACAGGGGTGGTGAGATGGGGGCAATGGGGTGGTGGGTGGAAAGCATTCGATCCTCTGCAATGGCGTTGCGCCTCTTGCTCTTAGCGGCGTCGCTTGCTTGCTGCTCTGGCTACATAACTCAGCCCTTCCCCATGGCAGGACAACGGAAGGAGAGCATGCTGACTTGTCGGCTCCCTGCGAGACCCCGAGCATCTTCGCACGTCCTGGTGTGCAAGGCAGAGGAATCTGCGCCTAACAAACTCAGGAAACTTCTAAAGCAGCCAGGGATCCTTGTCATGCCCTGCTGCTTCGACGGGTTGTCTGCGAAGTTGGTGCAGAGGGCAGGATTTGATCTCACATTCATGAGCGGGTTCGCCACCTCAGCAGCGAAACTTGGGCTTCCTGACACCGGGTACATGAGCTACGGGGAGATGGTGGACGCTGGAAGAGATATCTGCTCTGCGGTTTCAATCCCGGTAATAGGTGACGGGGACACGGGATATGGCAACGCCATGAACGTGAAGCGAACTGTGCGGGGCTACGCTCAAGCTGGGTTCGCGAGTGTGATGATAGAGGATCAAGTAGCGCCCAAACGCTGCGGTCACACCAGGGGGAAACAAGTTGTTTCCAGAGAAGAAGCCATTCAGAGAGTGCAGGCAGCGGTGGATGCAAGAGATGAAGGCGCCGACATTCTCATCCTGGCCCGCACAGACGCGCGGGGGTGCATCAGCATGGACGAAGCTCTCGAGCGCGTTCGGCTCTACGAGAAGGTCGGGGCAGACATCGGTGAGCGAAAGCTTTTCGTGAAGTCTCCCATGTTCTGCTTGCAGTGAACTGACTGAAATGCGATCTCAGTGTTTCTCGAGGCCCCGCAGTCGATTGAGGAGATGAAGATGCATTGTGAGGCTGCTCCCAACACACCCAAGTTGGCTAACATGCTGGAGGGAGGGAAGGTGGAGCAATCTCGTTGGCGGGGTCTTTGATTGATTCATCTCAACTTGACAGACTCCCGTCCTGCCACCCAAGGAACTAGAGAAGATGGGATACAAGATAGCTGCCTACCCACTCACTCTCGTCAGCACGGCCGTCAAGGCCATGTGAGCGATGCAACACTTGTGCCTGGTTTCTATGGTGACTATTTTCCAGGAACAAAGCACTGGAATCACTTAAAGAAGGTCGTCCTGTCGATGATATCCTCGATTTTGCAGAGCTTAGAGATATTGTTGGCTTTAATGATTATTATGCGGAAGAGGAACGATACAAGCTTTAGGCAGTGGAACAGAGGGGTTCAGATTCGACATACATATAAAGTGATTGTGCAGTACAATTACCATCATCCTTTTCTGAAACATCCTAGCTCATTCACAATCTTCTTTCACAATCTTCATTCCTTGCTCATTCACACTCTTCGGGCTCTGGCAAGTTGAAATATGCCCAATCCACTTGCTGAAGGTCTTTTTCCGCAACTGTTGATCAAGTTAAGTGAGGGACATATGCAGATCAAGACAAGGTGTAGACGTTTGCAGCAAAATTAACGTGAGCAAATTTGGAAGTGACATATGATTCAATCGATAGGAGAAATGCAGAATGTAACGATACTTTCAAATCTGGCCTCGATGTCGTTGTCACTCATACCATGTTTCTTGCAGAAGTAATACCTGAATGGATAATCAGTGAAACGAAAGCGCACATTGCATGTAACGATAGCTTTTATCGGAATACCTCACTGCTTCCAGATTATTGCCCCACAAAGTTGCTGTTTGGAATGCTTTTGCAAGATCATTTTCTGGAGTACAGGCAGTATTAGATTGCCATTGCAGAAACTGAAAATTGCACCTAGTTTTTTCAATACTGCTGGATCTACAAAACACTCTCAGATGAGATGAGTGTGATATTTGGTACCTTTGTCCGCATACTTCTTCAATTCCTCTTTCAACTGCTCCTCATTTTCTTTCAGCTTCTTATGTTCTTCCAGGAGTTTTGTCCTGGATGTTGTAGCTTCTCGAGCAGCTGCAAGCTCTGTCTTCCTTTTTTTCTCGCTATTCAACTTGGAAAGCGTGTTGTCCACTTTAGATTGCAATGACTCTAATCTTGAGCGCTTCTTTTGTCCTTCTTTGCTCGGAAGAGACCAATAGAAGTTACCCCTGGAGAAAAGCAGGATCTTCAACATTGTTTAGAATCGAAACATCCTCCTTACGAGCCTATCTTGTCTGTGTCGATCAGGTTGTCATCGCATAAAGACTGCAACCCAGCAAAAAGACATCAACATGAATTAGAAAATCATTTCTCAACCTTGACAATATCTGGTATTTGCATCCCGGAAATCCCCTTTTTGGATCCAATTTTTTCTATCTCTTTCATAGAGTACACCTTTCATTCAATCATCAGTTCTTGAAGACATCTCGAATTCTTTTGAAGATATGATTATCACATAACAGAATCAACAACGATGATATGTCTACCTGTGCATCTTTGAAGATGTCGAGGATGCGGCGGCGCTTCTCATCCATGCTCACTCCCTTTGGCGGCATGGCGGCAACGAATCTCCAAGGCGGGAAATCTGAGGCCACAAACTTTGTGCCTAAAAAAACTGGTGTAAAAGAAAACTAAAAAAAAAGATCGGGAATATTTGTCGAGGGTGACAAAGGCATGCAAGCTAAGTGTCTGATTTATTTCTCTAATCATTTCAGCGAGTCAAAGAAAGCGTCCTTCTCCATCCTCCTGAGCAAGGAGCGTCAGTCGGAACCTGACGATGGTGAGCTAACAAGGCGTTGTACGATCTCACCGATTCCGAAGATCCATCTCTCTTCTCTCACTCCATAGCACTGCAACGTCATTGCCATAGCATTAGAAGCACACAAGTATCCTCAACTGCAATCCTTACCGGGGCTTTCAGCTCTGCTGCCATGGCTAGGAGATGCGAATCCATGTGTGCCCGTCAAGTTCATCTTGTTGAGATTGAGATCCCACAGTTGATCACTTCTTCGCCTGAAACACGTTCTCACTCTCCTTACACTCTGACATGACGGTATGCCTGCTTCTTGATTTCCTCAACACCACGGGGTCTTTAATGCCCGTCGTAGAATCCTCGTCATCGTGGGCAGCAGAACTCGAAGGATTTGACTTCACTCTGTTTCTGCAGATAATGAGATGGGATTAGATATACAGGTTGAGACTTGAACGATAGAAGGAGCATCACGTTCTCTCGGCTGGCTCGCGCTCGTCCGGGTCAAGGCCATTGTTGATTCTCCTTGTTCTCTGCGCTCTGGTCAGCATCCATGAAACAAGGATAGAGCGTTCCCACTCGGATTGAGGCTCTTTGTGATTCATATGTCTCGTAATACACTCTTGAGTTCTTTAGCTTGTCTTCGAGCTGAGATGAAACAGAGGGCTTTCAGCGGAGGAAATCCATGTAATTTCTTACCTCAGCAATGTGTGCAGTGCAGGCATTGAGTTCATGTCGCAGTTTCTCGGCAGATTGAATCTCCTGCACACAAGAAGGATAAGTATCAGACAAGTTGCAAAACAATCACGTGATTTTACCTTATCTACAAGCATATGGCTCTTGGGAATCAAATTCTTGCTCTTCACCTTGCAGTGAGTCAAACGAATGGAAAAAACTTGTTACAAAACACCTTGATCATGTTGCCATCGTCCAGAGCTACTACACACTTGTGATTATCACCGATTCCATCTTCAACCTCAACTATCGTTCCAATTCTCCAGTTGAGCTCAGGTTTGTTCACAAGTTCTTTCAGCTGCACTCGATTGCCTGGTGCGAGCAACTTCTTGGTGCGAGGGGAGAGGTCGTGGAGGAGGACTTCGTCGTCCTCCGACTTACTGAAGCGTCTTCGTGATGAAGGATGGATGAACCCCTGACGTCGGTCATGGTCAGCCAAGCTCCATGCTGCTGAGCATGACTCACTGGTACACTCACATCCCCTGTGCGGGGAACAATGGGTGTACTGGACTAGCACCAAAGGAGTCAAAAAGCTCCTCAACCCAAACACAGGGAGCAACCTCAGCGTGCTTAAACCCTAGCTCGTGCTTGACGTTGTCTGGGCTGACTTGGATAGATGCGCCATGGGGCATGATGTCAAGTTTCACTATCCAGTAACTGCGCTTCTTTCCTATGATAACTCCCGCTTCACCGTTATACTGCCTCTCGTCATCTCTCTCCTGCCACCATATGATGCCTCAAAACAAACATGGAGGTCGAGATACCAAGTTGTACAGGATCACACGTGACCCGTACCTTGGGCATTTGTTGAGTCTTGGAACACCGTCCCGTAGCTCATACTCTTTGCTGAAGTTTTCGAGATCCCAGGCGCTGGGAGAGGCAGCCCGTACTCGCAGGCGAGAGGGGGTGGGAGATGAGAAGGAGGAGGAGCGCATGCGGCGGGTCGGAGGGTCATGATCAAGCTGCTTGTGGTGGGAAGGAGAAGCGCCTGACGCTGCCATCGCACGCGTGAATGGGGGCAAATGAAAGTTCGTTGCAGAAAAAAAATAGTCAAGTTCCATCAGACCAAAAGAGTGGAAAAGTTGAAACCCTCCGACTCTCTAAAAAGGAGGACGAGGACTCAGAAACCCTATCGGAAGTTCGGAGGTCCTGCGAGGAGGACCGCAAGGCCCGGCCCATGTGAGAGCGATACGGAGGCTGTGATTGGGCAGCCTACCTTCAAGGCCCCGGGCGGCCCCGGTCACCGTGAGAAGGCTCGGCAGGCTCAACTTTTTTTACTCAAAGTTAAGTTAAAGATCAGTACTGTGACCACTAGCTAGGCTCAGCCTAGTTACCGTCTGAATGGTGCGGCCGGGCGTACCTGCGGAGCCCCGGGCCGGCGTAACAGATCCGCAACAATTCGTCACATCCACTGTAACAGTTCTGTATCGTGCCGGCGTTGAGAACTTTGAACAAGGAAATGCAGAGGGTGGCTAGGGAAGGGAGGAGGAGCAGACCAGACAATGAGACGAGGAGATGAGGAGATGAGCGCAGAATTAAGATGAAGGATCATGAGATGATTATAAGTTGCCCGAACATGTGACTGGAGATATGAATTATGATCCGCGTAAAGAAGACAAGATAGGTGTCAACATACCGATGATGGAATCAGGAAAGCTTCAGTGCGTGAGTGACCGAGAGGAAGTAGTGACTGGAGGATCCTCACAGCGATAGAGGAGCTTCTTGTTCTTCTCACTTGTTCCACAGAGAAATCCAATGCAAAGAAAGTGATGTCCAAGACCAAGGTAGCCGACAATAAGTCAAAGGTCTTCGGACAAGTGGTTACTCAGTTGCCTTGTGAGAACGGTGAATCATGCTCCTGGTTGATGGCCTCACCTGACAGCCTCCTCTCTCTTCACTCAGGAGTCCCTGCTGTTCTGGACTTTCTGTGCAAGCATGTGCTCTCGGAAGACTTGAATGAAGTAGCAATCTTTCGGTCGAGGCCGAGGGAGCTGGAGGTGATGCATGTGTTTGTGACAGAGTAGGATAGGGTTGTGATGGGCATGCGATCAGATCAAGCGGCTGAGGAGGGAGATCGAGGAGCTCGCCTTGGAGGAGATCGACCTTGACGAGTATGACTCTCTCACTATCGGATACATGATCCTCTCGTTCTTAGAGGAGGTTCCGGACCTCCTCCCGCCTGACATCGACTTCCTTCAAGCCATCTACCATCAGAACGAGAGCTTGCAGCTGGCAGAGCTCAAGGCTCTCTTCCGCCAGCTCCCAGATGTCAGCAAGAACGTTATCTTCTACGTGGTCAGGTTCATCGGAGACTTCGAGAGTCAGAAGTCTTCCAACAGGCACTCGATCTCGGAGCTGCTGCCTATCTTCTCCCGCAGCCTGTTCAAGAAGCAAGTGCTTGACAGCAAGAGCCCCTCCAAGATGGAGATCCAAGTCGTCGAGTTCATGAACCTTGTTATGAAGTTCATCAACGACCTAGAACAAGGAGGTTCCCGCGGCAAGGCAGGCAAGGCAGGGGCTGACTCGTCGCTGTCCTCCCCCTCTCCCATGCTGTCAGTCCCCTCCCCTGAGAGAACACCTTCCAAGTCTGCTCTCGATCTTAGCGATGCCGCAGCTCAGCTGCCTGTCGTGCTGGATGAGGGAGCAGCAGCCATCAAGCAGCTGACGGACTCGAATCAGGCTATCAAGGAGCTTCTGTCTCACCTCATGGCCAAGGTAGCACCTCGCACTCACCGCCTGCTGCTCCCGCTGAGCGTCTCGCAGGTGGATGGCAGGAGCAACGAAGGGATTGTTGACGAGGTGCTGGAGCTGCGGGAGAGGCTGGATGAAGTTGACAGGCAGCACGCGCACCTGATGCAAGTTGTAGAGGATAAACTCTCCGAGCTGACGACCAACAGGAGCGCTCAGGTCCGTGTGGGGGGTTCGGAGGGGTGCTGCTTGCCTGACGATGCAGCAGGCAACGAAGGACCTGGAGAGAAAGATGGACAACTGGATGCAGTCGATACACTCTCGGATCGAGGAGCTGGAGGAGAAGGCAGGGGACGATGACTCGCACTTGAGAACCTCTCAGGGCCCTGAAGCAGACCTCAGCCCTGCCGTGCAAAAGGCGATCGAAGACGCTGTTCTGCGGATGGAGAAGACTAAGCAAGAGGAGCAGGAAGCATGGAGGAGCAAGGTCGAGGAGGACCTGCGGGCCTGGAAGGAGGAACAAATGAAGGAGCTGCATCGGGAGGCGGCGGTGAACGCTGCCAATGCCGTGAAGCCTGTGATCAAGGAGGCCGAAGAAGTGTTGGCGAAGATCGAAAACAAATCGAAGGAAGCTCCGCCTGAGACGGAGGCAAGGAGAGTTAGCGAGAGTGAGGGTACCAGCAGCGAGTTGAACAACGAGATTTCATCTCTGAAGAAGAAGATGATGGAGGTTGAACAAGACAAAGACAGACTGGAAGAACGGATAGACGATATCCTGTCAAAGGTGGAAGAAGCAGAAGACAGGTCTCCTCGACGGATTAATAGGCTCCTTGGCTAACTCTTTGGCTGTCTGCAGCATCAAGACAAGTCAGAATGAAGCGAAACAGATGTCAGACAGGCTGGACGACATGGAAAAGGTGACCGTCTTTTGTTCTCAGCAGTCATATCAGGCATTGAACCTCGTTTGACCTCCTTGTCCGCAGTTAACAAGCAAACTCGCGAAGCGTCAAGAGGAGCACGTGACCGAGCCGCCGGACTTGAGGGACCTGCGAGCGAGGATGTCGGACATGTCACAAGACGTCACGAGCCTGCGGGAGGAGCTGAACAAGTCGCTCAAGGAGGAGGGGAACCTGGCGACTTCGCACTCCGAGCTTCAGAACAGGATGTCGGAGCTCACGCGCAAGGTACCTCCTGAATCTTACGGGTTTCCTTGTTGAGGTTTGAGCGTGCAGGTGAACATTCTCAACTCGATCGAAGAGCGAGTCTCCAACCTCGAAATGTCCTCCAAGAGCGAGCAGGGCGGAGGGGAAGGAGGAGAGGGGGAAGCGTCCGAGAAGCTGAAGAAGTTTGCCGCTGATCTTGAGAGTCTGCAGCAGCTCGTTGCCAGCAGCCCGGGCCCCGCGGCTGATATCAAAGAGCTTGAGGAAGCGCTGTGGGGTAAAATGAGCAAAGCCGAGAGAAAAGTTCTGAATGTCTCAGCTGGGGTTGTCGGGATGGTTGAAGGGCTGCAGGAACGACTCGACGAGCTGGAGGGCAGCAAGGAAGGAGGAGCGGCCAGGGATGAGCCAGAGCTGGAGGAGAGGGTCCGGGAGACGTTCGGGAAGATGTTCGAGGAGCTGATCAACCCTGAGATCATCCTGCTGAGGGAGTCCTGCCATGCTCTAGAGACGCTCGTAGGGAAGCCGATGCAGGAGGAAGAGGAGCAGGAGGCCTCGCGCTACGAGACGATCTTCGAGACCCTCAAGCACCTCAAGGTCGTCTCGTCCGAGCAGGAGAAGGTGGCTGGTCAGCTGGACTCCCTGGCCCTGCAGGTCGAGGAGGCCAGCGAATCTCTCACAGACGTCAAGGCAGAGCTGGGGAAGATCAGCACCCAGTCTTCGCCACCGCCGGCAGATAACAAGCTGGGGGAGTTGGAGAAACAGCTGGTGGAGGCAACGCGGGCGCTAGAAGATGTCAAGTCAACAGTCACTTCTCTGAGCGGCTCGCAGCAAGAGGTGAGTCCCGGGCTCCTGCTGGAGTTCAGCTGAGCCCGTGGCTGCAGGTGGAGAAGCACATGTCCGGAGCCGACGAGCGAATCACCGAGATGTACCTCCCAGCTCGACGTGTGCCGTGCTGATGTGACCTGCAGCTATGCGCGACTAGACCAGCTGGCGTCGAGCTCGGGAGCAGATCAGAGCCTGATGGACGAGATCCATAACATGCAGCTCGAGCATGAGTCGCTGAAGCGACAAGCCCAGCAGGTCTCCAGCTGAGGATGAGGTGTCGATAAGCTGACGAGGCGGACCTGACAGTTCAAGTCGCGGCTGGATGATTTCAAAACCCGAAATGATGACTACCAGGATAAGTTCAAGTACCTCGAAACTAAGATCGTCAAGGTAGGAGAGGAGAGGAGGGGTAGAAGGGAGGGAGGGAGGGAGGGAGGGAGGGAGGAGGAGGGAGGGAGGGAGGGAGGGAGGGAGGGAGGGAAGGGG